ACGTGCCGGCCGCGCTTTACTCCCAAGGAAAATTATTTAATTAATTCCTGGTACTCATTTCTGTTAGAGGCTGAGTGAACCTCAGGGCCTAGTTAGGCTGGAACGATTAGGTCAACTGAAAAAAATCCAATGACCTCATCCGGACTTAAACCCGCGACTTTCCGGCTTGTAGCATAGCACCTCAACCTACTACACTTCCGCGTGCCCCAATAATAATAATGATAATAATAAAATCACTGACTCACTACGAAAAATCCCACGCGACAAGCGTTGGTACAGGAGCTTGAACATGTCTGTTTACCCCTGAGGGATCTGCACCCTGATTCTCTCTCTGATGGCTTCTGATTTCCAGAGAAAAAGAGGAAGACGATGAAAAAAAGAAGAATTTGATATCCAATAGGTCTTACAGGTTCGATTGTATAGGTTTCCACCTGTCCTCTCCATCCTTCATCACCCCCTTCCCCCGCGGTGTTGCCTCAAGGCGCGTGCCGCCCAGATGCTCTATTTCACTGGACTGAGGTCCCTTACCGGGAAATTGTACAGTGCAGCTCCACTCACATACGGTTCAAAGCCCCTGCTTATGTTAATGTAAACATAGACCTTGTGTACAGGATGCTACAGTCCTGTCACGGCTACAGGTAACAATCTGAACTCACATATCCGCCAGGACACCGGCTATCCTCATGGAAGTTTGTAATGGTTTTCCTCAGACCTTCCTGGAAAATTCCCAGCTAGCGCCTCGATTAAGACATGGTCGCTTCCTTCCCGATCCTTTATGATTCATTATTATTCAATCATGCTATCATCATACATCATACAAGTTGGTTCAACTAGTGACAATTTCAACTTCTATTTGGCCTTTCCCAAGTTCGATTCTCGACCAGGAAACAGAATAATCCGGTTAAGGTTTCTCACAGTTTACCTCAGTATCTTCCAGGGAAATATCAGGCCATTTATCTGAAGAGCCGGGATAGCTCAGTCGGTATAGCGACTTGCTATGGGCTGGATGACTGAGGGGTCGGAGTGCGAGTCCCGGTGGGGTCAAGAATTTTCTCTTCCCCACGTGGTCCAGGCCGGCTCTGGGACCCACCAAGCTTCCTATCCAATGGGTACCGGGAGCTCTTTCCCAGGGGGTAAAGCGGCCGGGATGTTAAGCTGACCACTCACCTCTAACTAGCGCAGAAGTCAAGAAAATGTGGTTCTATACGTCCACTCCCCCATACGCCGTCACGACGTGTTCACTAACGACCCAAACATTCGATACTGTACAATCTGTGTTCCCGACGGAGTCCATAAAAGGAACACAAAAAGTGCTTCTCGGTAATTTATCCGGAAAGATTAAGTCGAATGAACGTTTAATTTCTACGGCAAGGGCAGATGTAGAACAAATCATGCAAAGAGGACGTAAATAACAATACAGGGCCGCGCCATAGCTCAAGCGGTTAGTCGCTGGCTTCCCACCACGGCGGCCCGCATTCGATCCCGAGTCTGGTCAAGTGGGATTTGTGGAGGACAAAGTGGCGCTGGGGCTGGCTTTCTCCGCGTACTTCGGTTTCCCCTGCCAATCTTCATTCCACCAAATTCTTCATCATCATGATCACCCGGGGGAGGGTACAATAGGCCAATCAGTGGCCGCTGTGCCGAGTGGACCCAGTTGGACTCCACCCCTCACTAAGCGAACTTAAAAAAAATAACACAAAAATGCCTATAAGGATGTTAGAAAGGTCAAGATATAAGAGCAGGGGTTGGAGCCCAGCCAGCCATCTATCGAACTGACACCGGGCGTAAAGCGGCCGGAGCGTCAAACTGAGTACTAGCCATCATCTACCGCCGAGCTTACAATGAATACGGCTATACCTCCATTCTTCTGCAGGCTTTCGGGGCGTGCTGCTTAATTACATACATAAATGCAGAGATATATGAAACTTAATTTTTAACAGTTTAGATATCTTAATCCGGGAAGAAGGGAGGGAATTTCTTGTCGCACCCGCGACTCCCACCCTGCCCCGCCTATGATTGGCACTAATGTTCTTCCTCTCACAGACCTGTCTCGACATACATTTAAGGAATGTTACATGTAAATATATAGTGTCCTGATGAAAGGTATCCAAAATAAAAAATGTATATCTCGGAAACTAATTTTCTTACACGTATCCGGTTGATATCATCGGAAAGGAAAAGGCTGAAAGTATTTTTTTTCATACCCGGCTTACGTACATGCGCCGCCATATTTTTGCCACCATGTTAGGAATCGCGTGGACAGAGAGATGGCTAGGAGATGGCGCGGCAGAGGTGGACCAATCGCTTGGCCTCCTAGGTCGCCAGATTTAACCACAGTGGATTTTTTCTTGTGGTGTTATGTGANTATTTAAGGAATGTTACATGTAAATATAGAGTGTCCTGATGAAAGGTATCCAAAATAAAAAATGTATATCTCGGAAACTAATTTTCTTACACGTATCCGGTTGATATCATCGGAAAGGAAAAGGCTGAAAGTATTTTTTTTCATACCCGGCTTACGTACATGCGCCGCCATATTTTTGCCACCATGTTAGGAATCGCGTGGACAGAGAGATGGCTAGGAGATGGCGCGGCAGAGGTGGACCAATCGCTTGGCCTCCTAGGTCGCCAGATTTAACCACAGTGGATTTTTTCTTGTGGTGTTATGTGAAGAACAGTGTCTACCAGGTTAAGAGCAACAACCTACAACACCTGAAAGCCAGCATAAGGGACGCTGTGGCTACGGTAACACCAAACATGCTGGATCGTCTGGATATTTGCCGTGCCACCAAGGGAGCCCACATTGAAATTTAGTGAGAAAGTTATATACAAAGAAAAAAGAACGTTGATAGTTTCCCTTTGTAATGGCGTAACCTATTAATGTGTATAATAAATTTTTTTCTGATATTTAATTATTCTATTTTGGACACCTTTCGTCCAGACAACCTGTATATATTGAGGTGACCACACTGCCTGACAAATACTAGATGCTGTTTTGTATACTTACTGTAAGCAGAACTTCTCAATTCCAAATTTCAGGGCGTGAATTCATGGAGCGTCACTCGTGACAGCCACAATTTATATGGAAGTGTCCCGCTTCTGAAACACAGAACAATTGTGGACGTCAGTTCGGTGGGACCCCTGAATTTACAGCGCAACCGCGACGTGCCCCACGTCAGCACTTGGCAGTTTTCGCGCATGTGCACTGCGCAGAGCCTCTCATGCCTCATACAGCAGAAAGTTCTGGTGGCCTAAAACAAGGCGCTATTGGCCCGCAAAACGTTACATAGAATTATTACTCCTATACGATAAAGCCATATTGTCACCGCGTTTAGTTAATTAAGCACCACGTCATAAGCATGTATGTGGGAGTGGAGGTATAGCTCCACCATTCCTGACCTCGGAACTGGATGAAGGTAAGTGGTTAGATTCACGATCCATTGAAAGAGAGCCCCAGGATGAACCCCAACGGCGGTCTTGACGCTGCGGAGAAAAGAAATATTTCTTGCTCATACCGGGAATCAAATCTCGACTGTCCGGCCCGCCTCTGTACCAATTGAGTTAACACAACTTTAATTGTAATACAGTAAAAAAAAGTAAAAAAGTAAAGCTATCCCAGTAAGAGGCCGTGGAGGCCCATAGGATTGTGGGATGGTGAGGTTCCCACATTTTCTAGACAACCGGCTCACAGATGGCGGTAAGGTTGTCAGCCTTACGTGCCGGCCGCCCTCTACCCGCAAGAATATTCCTAGTATTCATTTCTGTTAGAGGCAGAGTCGACCCCAGGGCCATAGTGCGGCTGAAAGGATTAGGAAAATTGAAAAAAAAATAATCCAATGACCTCATCGGTACTTGAATCCGTAACCTTCCGGCTTGTAGCATAGTGCCTCAACCAACTACGCTACCGCGTGCCCCGTTAATTGTAACACAAATAGGTATAAAGCCGTTTTAGAAACAACTGAAATCCCCTGAGGTAATACGGCAGGGGCGTGAAGCTGATCATATCTGCCGAGGTTAAGAATTGTGAAGCTATACCTCCATCCCCCCATATACCTTCATGGCATATTGCTTAATTGCGCTATTTAGTATAGAGAGAACTTTGAACATTTTACGTGACGTTTCACGTTTCGGTCGTCAGAATGTGTACCGTTATTTTCCTGAAGACAACATCTATGTAGTTCCGTTTAAGCAGATGACGTCCACTTGTTACTGTCGTTAAAATCATATCCGACTACACGGTGTAACGCCCAAGGAAAAATATTCTGTTCAAGAGAACTTATTATTCGACTTGAAATTTCTCTTATGAAAGTGTTCAAGGCGTTTTGTAAGAGAAATTGAAAAGTTACAGAGGATGCTATACAAGAGATTATGTTACAATTTTTGTTATGATTTTCGGTACAAAAGAAAAGCGAAATCCCCACTGCGAATACGCAGGTGTTCTTATGGAAACCGTTGCCAAGGAGAACCGGCGCTGCGGAGTCTGCCTGTGCCCTCATCACCTCGTGTCTTTGACAAAAGCTCCTCGCCTCCTCTCGACGTTACCTTTCCATTTCCGATCTTCTCCTTATGATCCTGTCGCGAACTTTATCCTCCGCTTCTCCTTACGTTTTATTTTGTCTCGCCTCTAGTGGGTGGGGGAGGGAGGGGAGGCGGAGAAGAGCCGCAGAGGAACCGGAAATGTTGCTCTTGTAAGACGGTTATACAGTCCCCGTGTTTCAGAAAGTTAAGACCCCGTTTCTTTTCCCTTCTTCTTCTTCCTCAACTCTCCAGCTAGACTTCAGAGAACATGAATCATTACGGAGTAATTACCGACGCCACAGCTAAGGTGGTTATATGATGACTTCTCACGGCGGAGAGCTGGGTTCAATCTCGGGGTGACTTCACATGAGATTCGTGGTAGAAGGAGCTCAGGCAGTTTCATCTCTCACTTTCATAGAATTTCTCCTGATAACTGTCATTCCACCATTGCTCCATACTCATCTATTATTGTCTCATGAGCCCCATTAGATGTGATAATCCTCATCAAGCAGCACATTATCACAACGTCAATATTTATGCTTCGAGATGACCGCAAAAACGCATGTAGATACTCATGTAAGCTGCCCGTTACTCTTGGCCCAGATGAACCTAAATTAATATTAAGTTCTCAATGTAAAATTTAATACAAATCCGTTCTTCTGTTCTTGAGTTATTATATAAGCAAGGCCGCGCCATAGCTCAAGTGGTTAGTCGCTGGCTTCCCACCGCGGCGGCCCGGGTTCGATCCCGGGTCTGGGATTTGCGGTGGAAAAGTGGCGCTGGGGCAGGTTTTCTCAGAGTACTTCGGTTTCCCCTGCCAATCTTCATTCCACCAATTGCTCCACAATCACCCTCACCTATCATCTGGGGCTGGTACAATAGGCCAGAAGTGGCCGCAGTACAAGGGACTTAGTCCCACCCCACTAGCAATAAAAAATAATAATATTACATTAGCAGTGACATAGGCGCCGTCTTGTAAATTTCGTTTTGAAGGAGCCAGAAATGAAAGTAATACGACTTCGTGACCAATGCCATCTTGTGAATAACAGAGCTCTTCAGGCCGTGCCGTAGGACAGATGGTTAATCGCCGGCTTCCCACAGCAGCGACCTGGGTTCCATCCCAGGAACAGAGGCACTCGGATGGATTTCCCCTACCAATTCTCAGTCAACAAACTGCTCCCTATTCACTGATCATCATGCCATCGAAACTACAGTGTCGAGGCTGACAGCGTGGTTAAACAACAGCACATTCCAGCACTTGCTGTCCGTAGCGTGAAGACCTGCTAATTTGAGAACCCTTCATTCTGGATTAGCACAAGACAATCTGGGGCTCAAATAGTTCCACAGATAGAGAGGCGAATGTCAGGAAACAGAAAACTGAGAACAACCAAAATGCGGGAAAATAAACATGACTGTTCAGTCTCTCTTCTTCGACCCACGGCGAGATCACAAAGCCCTTCTCTTGCGTGTACGTATATGTTGTTACTGGAAGGGTGTGTTATGTTTGTTGTTTAAAAAACATACGAGGGCGAATCGGCAAAGGTCCGGTCAGGGGTGGAGGGAAGGGAGGAAACAGCATACACACAGTAGCCCGTAGAGGATTAGCATATAAATTGGTGGCAGCGAAGTCCGGCTTAGACGTCCAGATCGGGCAATCCGCTTTCATAGATGTCACGTGCCGCCCTGACAAGGGAAGAGCGGAGAGCGAGCGACAACAAAGAGAACAGCCACATGACAAGAGTCTCGTAGGTGCGAAGGCCAACATGTTGCTTTCTATAAGAGAGAGAGAGAAAAAAAAATATTTCTGTGGTAATTAGTCCATGTTTCATTTTCATTTCAAACGCGCAGTTCACTGGACAACTGCTAACATCACGGCGCTGTGCTAGCCGCTCTCAAAGTCAAATGATTTTCGCTATATATATGGTACTTCTATGCACGTGAAGGCCAACACTGGAATAGTGAGATTAAAGTACGATATTATCCCATTAATCCACAAGTGGTCATTATATGTACCACCTGCTCTTAAAATTAAAATCTCTGCATTCTGCCCACACAGTGCCTCACTTACTTACTCACTCACTCATGGAGCTGAGTCCTTCTTGAGAAGCCGCCAATTCTGCAGCTACTCAAGAATTTTCCAGTATTTTATGGAACCCGAAGGTTCATTACCGTGTTCGTAAGAGCCCTCCACCGGTCCCTATTCTGAGCCGAATGAGTATAATCCATACCATCCCATCCTATTTCTCTAACATCCATTTTAATATTGTCCCCCCACCTACGTCTTGATCTTCTCAGTGGTCTCTTTCCCTCTGGCTTTCTCACCAATATCCTACATTCTCCCCCATCTGTGCTACCTCTCACACCAAACATTCTTTCAGTTTAGTTTAGTTTGCTGAGTCGAGGTTCATAACAAACAGAGAACAGAGTCCAAATAACATCAGGTTTACAGCGAATATCTTAATGGGCGTAGAATTATTTAATAAATATTTTCTTAAAATATTTCTCATTCCGAAGTGTAAACGATATCGGGAACAAACCACAAATAAGACTAAATATAAATAAAAAAAATATGAGTGTTTATGATCAACACTGTGACGTGTTAATATACAGTAAAACTTGGTTATAGCAACATCGGTTTCTGCGACACCTTGTCTATTGCGTCAAATATTCAATGGTACGAACTAATTCCTCATAAAGCAACTGTTTTTATACCTTGCTTAGTACGACATGCACAAATGCATCAACCTCGTATGTAACGTCATTTTCATTCCTGAATTTCTCTGATATGGACATTGAACGTAATTTAGAAAGTGTGTATTGGGCAAGTAACAGGAAACAGATGAAGATAACTGATTACTGTACTCGTATCTAGGTACAGTAAGGCACAACAATTGATGTAATCTACTGTAATTTGGTGAGTAGGCCTACCTTTAATATACAGTATTATTGCGGTGTGTATTGTCAGTGAAAAGCGCTGTAATATGTCTTTGATATTACACATTTGGGCAATTCCACGTTAATGTTACGTTAGTCTGTACTTAACTATGTATTTCACTAAAAAATGCAACATTTTAACTCGGTTTTTGGTAGATTTTTACGTGACTAACATAAGGCTACTGTGGAAGTGCCCATTTCGGTTACAACGACATTCGTTTATAACGAAACTATTTTTAGGTCCCTTTGATGACGTTATAACCAAGTTCTACTGTACATGGTAATTCAAAATTAAGTAATCACTCAAAAAAATCACAGAAATAAACTTCTTGAATTTGAGGTTCTCACAGCGGTGACTATCTTTTGGGATACCGTGCCGTGTAATTCAGAGACATCTCGACGTTTCCGAGGACTGTACTGCTTCTTCATTGCGTATCAGTCAAGCGAGAAATCAGCAAGGAGCACGTGGCAGGCGGAGCTCAGCTTATGTTTCGACTGTGAAAACTGAGACAGTGTGTTGCCCTGACCTCTATCGAACTACACGGCGTCAATTTCAAGAAGCAAGTTCTCTTTATCCATATAATGTTTATTCGTGTAGCAC